GTAAAAAATAGTATTTTGATTCTTCTGAAATCACACATTTGTCCAATGCTAGTATCAGACTGGTCGAGAAATACCAACAAATAAAGCTGTCTGCATTGTATTAATAAGCTCAATGCACAAGTGGAAGCTGATATATTAATGAAGAAACATGCAACGAGATCACCTAACAGCTGTAAGTACGAACGCCGGCAATGAGCTGTTTCGAGGCAGAAATTTCCATTTTTGTAAGCAGCTGACACTGAGACGGCAAGATCACAAGCCAGAACCAACTACCCACTTAATATTTAAATGCACAAAGTCATGCAATAACTGAACATACAACGAACATAAGCAGAACTGCGTATATAAAACCGCACTTACTTTCAAGATCTCCATTTGGATCAAGAGGAGGTTTCCAGAAAAGTTCGACCGACGAAAACATGACGTTTTTCATTTCGAAGGACTCAACAGGACCGGGTACTAAATGCATAAAAAATAACAAACGAAAATCAAGTAAAATTTGCACTGTAATAAACAAAACGTCAGTGAATAAACTGATCATCGGATCTAGCCACTAGTTCGGAAGCTACACTTTGGGGCTGAAGTCATGAGGGCTCAAATACCCACTTCAAGCCAGACTTTAGAAGTTCCGATAAAAACAAATGAACAACGCTGTAAGTGGAAATAACGTGAAAACTTTACTCTGCCCCCATCGAATACAGCTGCAGCCTTGCCTTTATCAATCTTGGCACTCCCGGCTGATGGATTTGTAGCAGACACGTCAACGCCGCAACATATTCTCAGAAGTGACAAAGACATAAATGCCGCAAATCGCTAAAGAGCAAGGGAAACCTTATGCTTATCCGCCGTCTCATATCCAAACGTGTGCTGAAGGGAAATTTTTAAGCAGTATGAATACAATATTCTTTACGGTCCTGCAATTAACACGTGTGACACGCTACCTTTAACGAGCTTAAACGTTGGTGCTTACTTCTCACTGCAATGGTACAGCGCAAAGTAGGTAAAGATTTATTTCAAGATAAGATGTACAGCTTAGTGATCACGAGTTCCTTACTTCTCTATTTAAATCGATTCTGCGGTTATGTAAGAAGGATAACAGCCACTCTTGCCCCGCTCCCATTATAAAAAACTTATCGCAGCTTGCTGACGGAACTGGCTGATTGGGAGCAGCCGCTTAGGCGCCGATCCATAGTAGTTCTTAACGTGCAGTGTCGCAGTCGAGAGTCTGAATCTATATGACGGGACTGCGGTAATCTGGACCAACCATATTAGATATTGAGAAGCTCTCCATGAGCACAATACTGAAACATCTAACAAACAACTGAATTTCTGAGATTTCTGTTTATTTTATGATTAGATTTTTCTGACTGTGAGAACTTATTAATGTAGTGCAAGTTGCGCGGTAGCAAGTTTGACTGCATATATCAGCAGATGTCCACTTCTGTAACGTTTCCCAATTTTCATTATTTACAGATTAAAGAACAGCTCTCGTGAGTGCAAAACTAAAAGTCTATCAAATTTGCAAATTTCGAGAATCACAGTTTTCTTTTATGACGGCAGGATTACAGTAGTTCATTAATTCTGAACATCTTCACCTCGCTAAATTAGCCACTATGTTCTACAGAAATTCGTTATACCCTGTAGCCTCTGCGACTTATATTATCATGTATATCAATGGAAAGGTCACTGAGCAATAAAATACATTCTAAATGTCTATCGAAAAGACAAGCGGATGTTAGCAGGTTTCTTCATTATTTGACATGTCCTGCTAAATGAATGAACCGTGAAGAAACACGACAGCATACATCCCAGCTTTCATTAGGGAACATGTAAAACGGCACAAAAATCCGATAATTTTTTGCTCAATATCATCAGACAGTAGTATCAGAAGATTTGTAAAAGTCTTCCTGCTGTAATATCGACTCAAAATGCTAATAGGGTCCAACTTCTGGTGACGTTATAAATTCAGAGACATAGCAATACAAACAGATTTCACAGACTTCTTGCCGTGCGCTTAAAAAGAGAAATTTACTACGACCCTACAATTAGCATTTAATTTAATAGTCTTAACAGCAAAATGGTGATCG